AAAAAATGTTTCCTTCTGAATGGGTGCCAGGCACTCCTGGAAGGGTGGCTAGCCTAAAGCTGACCTGCTTTTGAAAGTGGCCGTGCTGTATTCTGGCACAGCATGACCTTAAGTACTCCTGCACCTGTGGATTATGTTTGGTTTTATTTTGTAGTTTTCCTGGTAGCAAATTCCTGATTCATTAATATGACTTGTCTGGGAACATAAGCAGCATTTTTTTTTTTGGAGTGCACAATAAGCCTAGAAATTTTAAAAAGAAAAAAAGAAAAGGTAGAAGACCAAGATGCTGCTTTTGTCAGCTGAGACCTCAGTTTCACTACCGAGACAAGCTCTTTTCCACTTCTACTAGGAATAAAAATCAATAGCTGAATTTGTTGACATGAACTCTACTCTGCAGTGCACAGTAGAATATATTTTTAGACTTGATTTTTGACCCTCTGTAAAAAATATAGTTTAAACCAAACATGAAAAAAATATCTGTAAAGGGACGGATGTCTATCATAAGTTGCAGCAAGGAAAGGTATTAGGAAAACATTTTTCTCACTAGGAGGGTGGTGAAGCACTGGAACAGGTTCCCCGGAGAGGTGGTGGAGTCTCTCTGCTTGGAAAAGAATCAGCAGAAGAATGCACAAAGAAAGAAATCTGTTTGAGCACAACATGAAATACTGTCCTGCCCTTAGCAAACAATTTGTTTTGCACACACGTTTTGCATTGAATTTACATAAGGTTTTCTTTGCTGTTATCAAATATTAGCTTTATAATCATGCTGTACAAACAGCATGCATTCTTTTGAGTTGTGTTTCTTTTTTCCTCCTTGGAGGCTATTTTATTTGAGTAGTATTTTTAGGTGAAAGGAGTTCTGAATTATGGTTTGCAAATATGGAAACCTTTCCCAACATGCAAAGTCCAGGAGCAATGTCCACATCTGATGCCAGGTCTTTTTGTGTTAAGAATACGAAGGTTCTTATTAATATGCTGTTTTCAGAGCATTTATAAAGTCTCTTATTTTTGTGTCCCCTGACTAATAGATATTTTTTAAAATTTGAAAACTCCAAGTCTTTTATGACAGTTTCTTCAGATCCTCCTTGCCTCTACTTTACTCGCTGGCTTGGCTGCTGTGAGGTTGTACTACTGTCACCCCCCTCAGCAAATAGCCCTAGCACATGTCTCTGTTCCTTGATTCCCAAAACAGCAGGTGTCATGTGGAAGCGATATTTGCCTACAGGATTCACAATGACAGTGAAAACTGGTTAGTTTTCATTTTGATGTAATTTAAGCAACCTATGAGAAGCAGAAATTCTACCTGGCTCTCTGCAGATCTACATCTGAAGGTATCAGAGCCACAGAGTATACTTGCTGCTTATTTTTAAGATTAGGACCTCCAGTTCTCAGTGCACTGAGCTTGGGTTCACAACTGTTGCTGCAGTGACTGCCATGGGTCCCTTGTTGGGTTGGATTTGTAGAACTGGAGCTTTTTGATAACACAAGGACTTGATATATGTATGGTATAATGAAAGATTTAGATTCTGTAGGATGCTGATGACCTCACTGATGAAGAACAGTGCAGTAGCAGCTGTTCTATAGCGTAGCAGCTGAATATGCAGTCACCTTTCTTCATTTTCATTTTCTCCAGTGTTTGAGGGAGAAGCCCAGCACTTGGGGAAATGTTCACAATTTCCTTTGGGGGTTGGAGATTAAAAGTATCACTTGAGTTGTTGGGTAGTTGTTTGGTAGAAGAGAGCTGGCTGTTGGTTTGTTCACAGCATAAACCTCTATTTCTAATGAGTAAATTAATGTTTCCGTTCTGCTTCCTCATGATAGTGGTATCAAGTTATAGTTAAATATTTGATGCCAAATATTGTATGATATTTTATGGTTACTTTCTCTTCATTGGAAACGCTTGTAGCTGTGTGCTTATACGTATACGAGAATGTTATGATGATAAAACATGATTGTAATAAATGGACTTAAAATAATATTTTGCTGCTATACATACATACGGTGGAGCACATTTTGACCATTCTTTCAGCTGTACAGGAACACAGTAAACATTATTGATTTGATATTATATCATTTTGTAAGTGGTTGTCTTCATATTTAGGCAAGGCAGTGAAAGTTGATGAGATTGAATTTTGGTTAAATTGATTAAATTTGGTAGGCGGTAAAACATTTTATTGCTTTTACATGTAGTCTGTAATGGACTTTATTTAAGACTTGGATAAGAATAGCTTAGAAGTTCTAGGAAAAAAAAGGGGAGGGACATTGAAGGGTTGTTGTATCTGTGATGGTTAAGGAAATGTTTAAGCAGCAGGGTCTTGCAGGTGATATTGGACCAACTATTTTGGGTACAAGTGCCCTTCTTAATCTGAATGAGCTTCCTTTTAAGAAGCTTCTGTCTACGACCTGAAGAAAGGCACTTGCGCCTAAAAGCTCATCTGATATCTCTCCCAACTATACATTTGGTCCAAGAAAGATTTTACCTCCCAAAACTCCATGCTTTGCATACTGAAAATGTAAGCTAGAGATTCCTGTGTTACACTCTGTATCAAAATTACTTCTCTAAATGTTACTAATCGGCTGTATGCATGTTGACACCTTTTGAATGTACAAAAAAAATTTGCTGTTCATTCATGTGTGTCTAATAACATAAAACCCATGATAAATCAGTTGTTGTGAAACTTGTTCTTATGACAAGTTGCATACTGAAAATCTTAAAGCTTGAGTTATGTCATATCATTGTGAATACCAATGAGAAATGATATCACATCCATTATTGTCATTGCAGGCTATGGTTTATCCATCTTCTAACCTAGGGAACGACTCAGAAAAATACTTAACTGTTCCTAATCTGATATATCTTTGTTTATTATGAGAGGTCTACCTAATTCGAGGAGGCAGTTGGCCAGTTTTGTGCGGAGATCACGAGGCTGGCCCACATTTTCCCAGGCTGATTGCAGCAGAACTGCCCATGCCTCTGGCTGAGGGGCCTCAGTAGTACTGTGCCTCACTGCTGATTGGCTGTGAGGGCTGTCCATAGTACAGCCCCACCCCTTGTTGCTGATTGGTGAGGAGAGGCTGGGCCACATGACAGGCAGTCCTCTCAGCCAGGCAGCAGTGATGGGTGGGGGCAGCAGTGATCTTGGGCTCTGTTTCGTGTTGGCAGCCCCGCTTTCCTGGGCAGGCTGTGAGGATTGGCGGCTTCCCCTGGAGAGCTAGCACTTATTTTCAGTAAGTTGTTTTTCGTGGATTTTTCAGCTGTTCCACAAAATCCACAAAATTATGATTTTGGTAGGTCCCTATTTATTGTACAGTATTTATAACATCTTACATGTCTAACACTTACGGATTTTTTGGATACTGATACAATCTCTCGAATTTCCTCCTCTGTAAGTGACTGAACAACTGTTACTCAACATACAAAGTGTCTTGTCTTGGAACTAATTGATGAACTTCATTATCCCCTTCAACTAGTGCAAATGTGTGAAGTGGAAGAGTCCATTCCTACTCTTCCCTTGAACCATTCCTGTCACTTTTAAGAGGCACCAAATTGACTGATTTTTCCAAAAAAACCCAAACCAACAACAATCCCACCCCTCAAGGATTTTGTAACAAGAAAATAAAGTAGCTTTTCACCTTATGGTGCTTTAAATGTGTATCTTTTAAAACACATGCAGAATACTTTTTGTGTGCCTTGTAGACTTCTTGGCAGTGATGGCTTCCACCATTTTTCGACTAAATCCCCTTTCAGTTTGGGGCCAATAGGGGATGGCCATTTTCCACAATAGCTATACCCACAAGCATTGTACACACCAGATGGATGAAAAAAGAAATAATGAAAAACTAAACATTTACACCTTTGAAAAGCTTTTATTTTTTAAATTGACTATAATCTGGAATTTTCAGTCTAACCTGGATTTTAGTACCGTAGAACTGAATAGTAAGGGTTTACGTACTTTTTTTCTGCAAGTTGCACAGTCTGAAATATTCTAGCAGGAAGTCTTTCAGTCTTTCTCCTTTCTTAGTTAAGTGAGGCTAAAATCAAATTGTAGATAGAATATCCAGGTAGGTGTAAAAAAATTGGCCTTATTTCTGTCACTTCCTAATTTCTGAGTCCTTGACTTTGCAGCCTTAAAATATACTTGAATGTGCTTTTTGTAGGTGATAATAGAGTTCTTTAACAACTTCATATACCGTGTCTAATCTTTCATACTGATTCTCAGCACTTCAACTATGAATTTGATTTTTTTTAAATGTTGTTCTGATCTTTCCAATATTTAAAAGTTTTTAAAAAAACTTTGAGAGCCTAAACATGTTATTGTTTAGGTAGAAACTTTGTTTCTAATTGAAGTTGAAGATATTGGTCTATATCCCTTTCTTAAATGTCTGCTAATTCCTTGGGATAAGCCATTTTTTTAAATAAAGCAAAAAGAGAGGGGCCTGAGAATGCAAAATGTGTAGGGGGAAATGTCAGAAACAAGGGACTCTGGATTAAAAGTGATGTTTGTATATGTGTGATGTTTATATAGGCATGTGCCTTGCTAGCAGTGATATGAAATTGCTTGGCTACTCTTGGGATATTGAAAAGCCTCTGAAAATCATTGCTTTCTCTGTTAAAGTATTTATAGACGTATTTCAGTTTTCCACTGAGGAGTTGTTCTGTTACAGAATCGTATCTTGCCAGAATATCATGTAGTGTAGGCCCACTAGGCCTCCCAATATTGCCATTTTTGACATGAAGCACTTTACAGTAGGTCTCTCTTCAAATCTTCTGTTTTTTTACTGTATACCTTACAAACTTAAAACAAAATCCAGTGATTTGATCAGGGCACAGTATACTGCAACTTGTTTGTAACTAATCTTTTTTTCCTTTTACTCTGACTGGTAGATGAAAGTTAAACTCTATTATGTAAATGTCCATTTCAGTGGACCTAGATTTACTTCACCATTAAATATTGACTAATCCCGTGCTACTCTATCTGTTCTTTCCCTTTTCTCACCAGTTTGCTGTTTTGTGGTTCACAAGAGATGCCATGAATTTGTTACCTTTTCTTGTCCTGGGGCAGACAAAGGGCCTGATACTGATGTAAGTACATTGATGTTCTGTATTTTATATGGTATGTTACCTGAATATATATTTTACTCTGTTCCTTCGAATAGTAAAGACCTTAGTCCAAAGATCACCAAAGTTGCTGTCTTCATGATGGAATCTTGTTAATAGGCATTGTAAGTTCAAGTAAATAGGAAAATATCTAGAATTGAAAAGTCTGTTTAAGTAACCTGAGTGTTCCTCAGAATAAAACAAATCCATGATCTTCATGCAAACAAGTCATTGTTTATAGCCTCACAGCTTTGTTTTCACCACAGGATTGTTTGGACTTAAGTGCTGACCATAACCCAAGTCCTGTCCACACACACAGACGATCAGCTTGAGTTGCATGTTACATTTAACTTGAGGACAGTGTTCTGCTGTGGGATATGGGTTGAAGTTCTAGTGCTTGATGCTTGAGGAGGGCTCCTGAGGTTGTCCTTCTGTGCAGCTCAAATGGTATTTTGCAGAATGGCCACTGTCACTAGATCTAGCCCGACTTGGGAAGAGTTCTCTCGTGTAGAGAAATTTATCGAATGCTGAAAGCAAGACTAACACTTTTTTGCAGGTCCAGTAGCATGGACTTGTAAGGATAAGCCATAAGGACACTGACTTGAAGAAAGTGTTTGGGATTTTTCTTATTTTCTCATTTGTGTGTGCGCACTCGCATATGTAAAACTGACATCTAGTATAATTTGGCATTCCAAAATAAAAGGAGAGGAAATGACAAAGTATAAGACGACAAATTTATTGAGGAATGCAATCAACAGAATATTAATCAAAAATTAATTGGACTCTTTGAGTTAAATATCAAAAGCCTGCACAGTTTGTTAATCAGCAGAAATGAAAGGTGAAATTACGGTTAAACATATTAATGAGTTTACATCTGGCCTCTTAATTCCAAAATAGAGTCTCATCACTCTCAAATGTATAAACCGATATTTATATTTTTGCTTCTGTGGGACAGTGGAAATTTCGGGATTCCTTGGGACTTTCTTTGAAAGTCTTGTGTTAAACAACTGAAAAATCTGTCTTCAATGTGATATCATGCAAGAAATTGGATTTAAAACAGTTGCCATTTTTAGTACCCAAGTTACTTAGTTTTTTTAGAAGTAGAAAAATAAAAAGCCATCTCTGCTATGGTATGTTTATATGAAGGATTTAGATGGCAGAGAAGATGATGGTGAAGATTAATTTTACTCCATGCTTTAGCAGTTCATAGTGATTAAAAGTGTCACAGTAAATGATTAGAGTAATATTTGACTTGTGAATGATGCCAGCTGATTGCTAAATATTGCAAGAGAGGTTGTTAACTGGATAGCTGGATCCGCACTTGTGGGAAATAATCTGTGTAACGAGAAACTAAATTTAAATCTGTTCTTTTTATCAGCCTTATGAGTGAATTTCTAACTAATGAACAGTGAAGAATAGTAAATAATCAATTTTAAAACTCTGTTAAAGTTGAAACTTTTAGAAAATAAATTAATTAGGCAATATTACAAGCCATTTCTGCATGGCTTATGAGTTAGTCTGCAACAGGGCCTAAACTGATTTTGTCATTATTTTATCAACTAGTAGAAATTTTAAAAGATTTATTCTGAAATGTCCCTTTTTTAACAAATTGTTTGTGACTTGACCTACTGCAAACTGTCATTGTATTTCAAAATGCTGCTTGCGTTTTATATATGTAAAAATACATGTGTGTGTGTGTATATACATATATACATGATGCATGTTTCACATGTATGTAAAACATCAGCTCATTATTTAACAACTATTTCAGCTTCTGTGTAGTGGACATCAGTGAACTCTTATACAGGACATATTTTAGGGGCATGTGAGATACTAAAAGTAAACAGATGCACAGATTTTGCAGGTGGTCCTAAATATAGTTATGTTAGCAGAAGACTATACACATTTCCTTGTCTAAGGTTCCTCATCCCTTTTGAATATTCATTGAATGTTGGTCAGAGTCCCCGGAGGAATTCAGAATCATGACCCCCCCCCCCCCAACATCTGGCTTCTCCTCCAAATTATAGAGTCTCCCTTCTCTGCAGCAAGTTTCCTTCCTCAACAGCCAGTGCTACAAAACCATGTCCCTCTGCACTTCCCAGACGTCATATGTTTGTGCATCCCCTACCCAAACACTCGCCCACTGAATTTTGAAGAACTTTTACCAATCCATATTTACCTTGCTCTACCTCTGGGGAAATTCCGCAACTTTAGACTCTAGTTACTTGTAGAGAAGTTAGAGAAACAGGTTTTTCTTCAAGACTTCAACCACCCCATTACTCTTTTTAAGCCCCATCTACTCATTAGTTACTAGCCCTTGAATGACTTCCTTTCCAGTACAGACAGGTAGGTGTCCTTCTGCTCTTTTCCACTAGTCATGAAATCAAACTGGAATTCATAAGTGTTATGTAGACAGATTCCTCCAATTTTTGCGGAATTTAAAGGAGAATATTTGTTTCTAATTTTCAGTGGATCAAAATAATATTGTGTTTTCCGATGTTTCAGAAAGCATTCAGTAACAGAGCTGCGGAGGCTTATAATATTTGTTTAGAGTTTTTTATACAACATATAGTATAATTCTATAAATATAGTACTTGGTGCATTTATATATATAGGATACTTCATAAATCACAATTATTGAAATAAAGTGAAAGTGTAATTTGCTAAGAATTGTATTTGCTTTTTTGTTTGGTTATTTGCACAATTCACTAAGCTACTCTAGGTCTTCCTGTTATTAGTCAGCTAATACTATTTTATTGTAATTTTTTGCAATAAAATTTTACTGTAATTTTGTATGTAATTCAAGCAAAATCCAGGGTACCCTTGGGGAAAACCAGGAGCAATGGCCACAAAATCCTGGAAGATTGTTTCAGGCTCAATATTAGGAAAAAACTTCTTCAGTCAGGGTATCCAGACTGTGCAATAAGCTCCCTCCAGAGGTGGTGCAATCACCTACCCTGGAAATCTTCAGGAGGAGACTGGATGGTCACCTTGCTGGGGTCACCTCACCCTACTTGTCTTTCCTGCCTGGTGCAGGGGGTTGGACCCGATGATCTTGGGAGGTCCCTTCCAGCCCCTAACATCTATGAATCTAAGACCAATTTCAATAGTTTTATAGTTGCACAGCATTTTTAACCATGAACCATTGGTTCTTTATAAATTTGAAATTTCATGTAAAATAAGAACTCTGTTGCACCTACTAAAATAATAAACTGATCTTGCTTGTTCACACAGAAACCACCGTTCCTTTAGAAAGATAAATTTCACTGTATAGTGAAGTAATTTAACATCTGCTTATGGGAACAATACGTTCTAAGTTTCTTTGTTTGAATTGCACTCTGTTTTTTTTTATATAACCAATTCAGGCTCAAGATTGTAGGGAATTAGCTCTTGCTGATGAAATGCACTGGAAAGCTTGTCTCATTAGATTTTAATGAGCTACTTACGCACATTTTTAATGTGCAAGATATGGGATTCATAAATAGTGGATAGACAAAGATGAGGAGGAGGATTATAAAATCTGATTTGGTGATAAACTTTGACAGTATCAAACTTTAGGTTGTTTTTTAAGAATTCACTCAAGAAATTATTAGTTTTTGTTTTAAAGAAATCATTTTATTTTTGTCTTTAAAAACCAAAACAAATTTCAGGTAGCAAGCTCTGTTAAAGTTGGGTGCTGAGTCATTTGTGTTAAATGACTTGCATATTTTCATGCAAGGAGGTAAGCAATGAATGTCCCCAGAAGCAGTGTAGAGTTATTACCTCGATGCAAATAAAAGATGCAGTATAGCTTTCTTCTAATGATAGGGCTATGGAAGCACAATGCGCTTTAGAATTTAAAGTGCCCCAAAATTAATATTTTACAAGCGTATTTAAAAATTTGAAGTTGTTCATAAAGAGGGAGGGAATGTGATCTGGTAATTAGAACTCATTCTACAAATTACAAGATGGCGTTAAGCTAGTGTGTTACCTACTTCCCTGCAGAGAAGCTAGAGAATTCCATAGGATTTCATACCCCGGGAAAGGTTCCAGTTTATCAGGAGTCATGACTGTGCACCCCAGTTTCTGACTTGGTTGTCAGATGCTCAAGACATCTCAGATGCTCAAGACAGTTGTGTCCTAAATGCTGCATACTTCAAAAAACTACCAGGCGACTCAAGTCTATTTCCTTTTACCCGACTTAATTATTTTGGAGCTTAAGGACACCTGAAGGCAAAACTTTACACATAGAAGTGTGGATTAAGTGCCAGTTTTAATTTGTTAGCAAATAATTGACCATAGCTTATCAGGTTTGAGGGGTTCAAGAGAATGGGTAACATGCTGGATCTGTTGAAATAAATGACATACTCTTGTTGGCTTCAGCAGGGCTAGGACTTCACAAGAAGTTGAATGTGTCTCTGGTATAAAGTGTCATGAATATATACAAATAAATGTCTAACTTTGATTTTAGATGCTCATAAAATTGAAGGGAATAAAAGAATTAAATGTGTGGATTTGTTAGTGCTCACCTTTGTGAATTAGAGATTAATAAAGAGTATATGTGGTATTTAGTCAAGATAAGAAGTGCTATTTTAATAGTAAGGTTGTTGGCTAGGGATCATAAAAGAAGTTTTTTGTATTAATAGTGAATGATTTATTTATCTAGGATACAGCTGTATGTGTGGTTATTCAACTGTGCATTCTTTAATGCGTGGTCCTTACTTATGTATTTTTTTTGCTAATGTGCAGCATTGAAAATCAGTGCATGAAGCCATTTAACTTTATGAAGCCTCTCTTAATTGTTGCAGAATCCATTTTTGGCAAGTTGTTAATCATTTTAACATAGCAGGTTGCATTTCGTGATTTGATTTTTTCAGTGAGTGGTTAAATACATCAGCCTTCTGCCTTATTTTAATTATTTAGGGTACTAAATAATCATCATCAGTGTTTACGTATCTAAACAGCACAAAAAAAGCTTTCTCCATTACAAATAATACAGAAAATGA